AAGATAAGTCTCTCTTAATCCTAATCTAATAAGATAAGATAATCTGTCTTAATCCTAATCTAATAAGATAAGTCTCTCTTAATCCTAATCTAATAAGATAAGATATTCTAATCTACTATAACTTAATAAGATAAGAATAACAAGATAGTCTAATATAATCTGCTGAATGGATAAGACTGTTGCTGCCGAATTGGATAGGATGAGAACACCGGATCATTGTTGCTGCTGCTCCCAATACGCGTCCACATCACAATGGTGGGTATTGTTTTTTTTTTTTTCCGATCAATATTAACTGTGGATATTGTTGAAATGAAAATAAATGGTAGTCATCCCATGGTCAGTGTGGGAGGAGTGAAATAATAGTGCTTTATAAGGAGTTGAGAGGTTGACACCTTGGTGGAGGTGTTTGTTGACCTCATTATGATCAGGGTGGCCCATTGGTTTCTTACTAGAGATAGTGAATTCTGAGATTTGACTACGGACAATGTGGTAAAAGGATTGAGTGATGTGGCCACTTTGTCTGATTCTAGAGCCATTAGATTGATGGCTTGGTCTTCTTCACCCCAGGGAGTTTGGCTTAGCTAAATTCTGATTGGTGCTACATGGGGAAGGGGAACCTAGTCCTTCTGGCATAAGTGTCTTGAGAAACCACAGTGGAGAGGTAATGATGTATTGCAGTTATACTCAGACTCTGTTTTCTCCCCATTTACCATTGTGTTGGTGGTTTGTCATTGTCAATCTTGACTTTCCAACGAGACTTTTGAGGTGCAGGCTCCAGAGTTTGCTGGTTGTATGATCCTTGTCATCTAGCAGATGGGTTAATTGTTGTTTGAATGTATCCTTTTTGACTTTGGCCCATTTAATTGTGTTCTTCCTGTGATCTATATCTGATAATTGGAGATACCCACTTCAATGCCATTTGCAACTCATTTCTCTGATTTTCTTTGGGCTAGCTTGCTTATGTGAAGGGATAAGACTGTTGGTTTTGTTTGGGATTAATATGTGTTTCCTGGTTCAATTATAAAAAAAAATGATTCCTGGCTGATGTGAAGG